GAAAGAGCGTGTAAATCAAATGATCTAGATCTGTATCTCAGAAATACTGAGCCTGGGGACCCCGTGCCTGGCTGGAAGTCACTGACCTTGCGTTCCTCTTGTCTTGCAGATGACTACATTGCCATTGGTGCCGACTGCGAGCACATAGCAGCCCAGATTGAAGAGTATATCCTTGCTGTACGGGGCTTCCTCAAAATGGCCCGCGTGCCTCCAGGCCACGGCATGAACGTGCTTGGAGGAAAAATGGGACAGTCTGTCTTTGCATCAAGGTTCTTGTGCAGCTCTGCTGGTCAGGGGTCTGCGTTTGGTTCCAGCTCTGCTTGACAGAGTCCTGGGTCGCTGAGGAACCCCCCGGGTGGTGTTGGGAGCTCGGGGCAGACCCCTTGTTGTCGTGATGGGCACGGTTATTTCCTTCCCATTGGCACCATAACGGACTGTAATCCCCAGTTTGTCCTTCCCATCCACACGCTCTTTCCTGCCGTCAGCTCTGCCTCCACCTACACGCAGCTTCCCCGCGCCTCCACGTGGAGGAGAGCGCGCTGATACGGACACGGGCGATGGGAGGGACACAGCAAGGAGGGTCGAGTGTCGCGTCGATTTGAGACAAGGCAGCAGTTTGCTTGGTTTGGGGGCTGTGGGTTAGGCAGGAGGTGCAGCAGGGCTCTATTAGCGGAGGGTTTGGTCTCTACCCTTCCTGAGAGAGAGCAGGTTGAAGAACCTGAGCGTAACTGACAATAAAGATTATTTCCAGTACAGTGAAAAAGCCAGAACTGAAAGCCCTTGGACTCTGGGGTTGTATAAACCTGCTCTTAAATCCAGCACTAACCTCCCAGAGCACAAACTGCTGTTGGGTCCCAGCACCCTCATCGGTGCCCTGGCAGCGGGTGACGCTCCCCGCTGTTCACGAGCGGTGTAGAAAGTGCTCGGAGGCCTCTGGGTTGATCGCAGGCTCCTTGACTGCCCTGCACGCATATACCAAGATGTCAAGAACACCGACATGAAGTACAAAAACCGCGTGAGGAGCCGCATCTCGAATCTGAAGGACTCCAAAAATCCTGAGCTGAAAAAGAACGTGCTGTGTGGGGCGATCACCCCCGAGCAGATCGCGGTGATGACCTCGGAGGTGAGGAAGCCCGAGGAGCAGGCTTTGCTGCTGGCAGGGGATGCGTCCTGAGGTTTAGGTGGAAGCTGGTCTGCTGCCAGGGCTGCAGATTTCTCAGCAGCTGCTGCCAGAGTCCATGGGGAGCGAGCTAGTGATGGGATTTGCAGTGTGGAGGGTAGTCTGGTGGGTCTTCATGTCATCGTGGGGGCCTGGGTATGAGCCAGAAACCAAAAGGTTTTCTGTCTTAATACCCATCTGTTAGGCCACCCTGTCCTCTTGACTCTTTCCACTGTAGTGGGTGTGGTGGTCAAACTGGACAGATGTGATTTTTATGGCTTTTTTCCTTTTATTTTTTGAAAGGAAATGGCCAGTAATGAGCTGAAGGAAATCAGGAAAGCCATGACGAAAGAAGCAATCCGGGAGCATCAGATGGCCAAGACGGGAGGGACGCAGACTGACCTCTTCACCTGTGGGAAATGCAAGAAGAAGAACTGCACCTACACCCAGGTTAGTCCTCCTGCTCCTACAGCCTCCCCACTGCTGACCTCTGCCCAGGACCCGATCCGTCACGGTCCTGAGCTCTCGCTGCTCCGTGACAGGCCCTGCAGCGCGGCACAACCTCTGCCGCTGCTGGAGACAACCTTTTCGTACGCTCGAGGCCGTTTCAAACGCCCTGCTCTTGTACAGTGATTTTTTTTTTGTACACATTTCCTTGGAGCTTGTGTAACTTTTTCGGCGCGTTTTGCGGAGCAGGGGGTTGTGCAGCACCGAGGAAGCTTTCGGAAGCGCCGCTGGGGAGAGCTGCATGTTGGGAGCAGGTGTTGGGAATGTGGAGATTCAGACAGAGGAGATGGCAGAAAGGGAGGCAGGCATGTTGATGGTATTAAAAGTGCAAGTTAAGAATATAGATGAGCTGTGGCTGGACAAATCCCAACTTAAAACCAAACAGTTGAAACATAAGGAATAAACGAAGCGGTGGGGTGAGCAGGCAGAGGGGATTTTTCTTCTCAGTGGACGACTGCTGGAAGCCTTGTGCACTACCAGGACTTTTTAGGTCCCCTGTTCCCGCCAGGCAACTGGAGATCCATGTGCCTTGGCCGTGAGTCACTGGTGTAGGATCTGCAGAGACCCAAAACCGCGCCAGCGACGGGGCGATTGCCGCCGGGCGGGTGTGCGAGCGCGGAGTGAAGCTCCTTCGTACGCTCGGCGGGGACGTGCAAACGCAGGCGAGAGCCAGGCGGCTGACCAGGGGGGTTCCTCTTGGCTCAGCCGCAGCTTTGCATCCCTCAGGCGAGAGGCCTCGCTCTGCCAGTGCGTCCCAGTAAGCCAGCTGGAAGCGCTGCCCGGGCTGTCTCGCCTCAGCAGCCTGTGGGGCTCCGTGTCCACCTGTAGTGGGCTGGAGCCTGCCTGCCTGGGCTCGCGGCCGGTGACGGCAGTGTCTTCTAAATAGAACTATCAGAAGGTGTTTTGTGTTTTTTTGTTAGTTTTCCAGTGAAATCGCTGTTTGGTGGCTGAGGTGTAAGTTCCAAGTAGATGAACTGGCATTTATGAAAGCGTTGGAAGCCAGGCAGTAAGGTTGGGCGAGAATTGCAGAATTTAGCTGTCCAGCACGCTTGCAAAACTTGCTTAATTTGCATCGTATGAATACTGTGGTTCTTGCATATTGGGTCATTACATATGCAGAGCGCCCTAATTACCCCTTGGCATGGTTCTGCTGTCTGGCTTGCACGGGGAGTGCCAGTATATTCAGTGTAGATCTGCCTTGTGGTATTCAAATGCCGTGAAAATCTGATTTTTAGCAAAGTGTGTGTTTCTGGCAAGAGCCAGTCAGGGGCAGCAGTCACATCTGGGTTAAATACCGGAGTTCCTTAATGGCTCAAACACAAACCAGTCTGGAAAGGTGTGGAGCCTAGTGGGAGGCCAGGACATAGGACTGGTCTGTAAATGGGAATGCCTTGGGTGCTTTTGGATGTGTTGCTGTGGAGCCCGTGCTGGATGGGCTGAGGGTCCCCTCGCTGCATCCCTTCCCAGGGGACAGCACGGGAGGGACCCCCCGTGGGTATGTCCCCCCCCTCCAGAGCCAGCTGCAAGGAATGGGCAGCAGAGGGGGTGAGGAGGGAAACGTGCTGCCCCAAAAACACGTCGTTCTGGGTAGTGTCAGGCTAGAGAGGGGTCACGAGAGGTGCGCAGAGGTGTGTGTCTGCGTGCGGAGCAATAGCCAGACCCCGTGTGCCCTCCCAAGCCTTGGCTGTGTTGATATTTGACAACGGGACCCTGGTGGTGACTCCCTGGTGGCCGGAGGAGCGGGGAGCTGGCCATGACCCACCCCTGGCGCCACGTGCGATGCTCCTCAGCTCTCCTTTCCCCTCGTGTCCTCCGCCAGGTGCAGACCCGCAGCTCCGATGAACCCATGACCACCTTCGTCGTGTGCAACGAGTGCGGGAATCGCTGGAAGGTAGCGCACCAAGGATATTACTGGCACTGAGGGGTGTTGGGGTGGCTGCACCCACGATGCTGCAGACGCTTAGCCGCTGCCCTCGGAGGGGCTGGCCACACGCTGCCCGCTTCTAGCGAGCGATCCTTCCTCCCAGCACAGAGGCAAGAGCTCCTGGGTTCATCCCGTCTCTGCAGACCGGCTCGGGGTCAAGCCTCACTTTCGCATTCCCCGCCTCCCTCCTCACATCCCCCTCTTCTGCCACAGCTTCCCGGTGCTTCCCAGGCTCCCTCTGCCCTCCCCGAGAGATGGCGGTGAGGACATTCAGGATGCGCGCGGAGCTCGGCGGCGGAGCAGAAATCTCCCGGTTGATGGCGCGCGGGGAATTTTGCCGCTCCCGAGCGCCAAAAGAGCCACAGCCGAGAGATTGGGGCGGGAGCTCTGCCCGGCCCCCTCCACCAGGGGCTCAGCCCTGCCTCTGCAAAATCCCCAAGCCCTCGCCAGCTTCCGAGACAAGACCCATCACCTGGATCCCGGCCTTCTCCTAGGCAGCGTGCGCGCACGACCCGCCGCTCCCCCTCGGCAGCGAGGTTTTCCAAACGGGGTTCAA